TGGATACCAAATTAGGAGGATTTAAATTGCAACGCCATTTGCTGTATGTTAAGTAGTCGTACAGTTCCCTTGATTTGATTTGAGTTAGCAGAGTTAGACAAAGAGCACAGAATATACACGTACGGGTAAATTTTACAAAAGGGGGGAGAGATATCGGTAATTCCATTCTACTGACTTGACGTTTACCCTGCACTCAATCCTTCAAATCATCAGAAGTGCATTGTAAAGCACTCACAAAGCCTGCTTGTCACCTGACCCCTACCTGCTCACACCATCAGCCACCAACTTACCCAGTACAAACACTGCATTTCCTCCCAAAGGGTTTTTTAAAGGCCAGATGGAAGCCAGAGGCTCTGGTTATTAGTCAAGTTGAACAATCACGATTTAATTAGTACTTTTCTGGCTCCGGCTTCTACTGTGTGATGGGATCTGTGTGAGACAGGAAAGAAAATGCAGCCCAGAAATTCAGATCTCAGGGCATGACCTTGAGCACTCACTAACCTGGCTGCTTTGGCTCCGAGACTTATCTTGGAGGAATCACCTTTTCTCTGACACTTTGGCTTATCTACCTTGCCAGGAGGTACAGAAGACTAATTAGACACTAGCTTTAACATTTCAGAATCCCCAAGAGGAAACATGATGCAGCAGTCGTTCTGGTTAAATATTGCTGCCTCTCTGTTTTCCAATAACTAAATGATCTTCACCATTTTATCGCTAATGAGCTGAAGAATGAGAACAAGAGAAGTTTCAAATGTTAGCTAGCTCGTATTATCGTCACCAGCAATTAAAATAGAGTAAAATGCACATTACGGCAACAGTCCTTAGAAATGTACTCACCCCACAGAAGCACCTAGCAAGGTAACCTTATTATTAATGTTTTATTTACACAGATCGTATTATTTTGTAACAGATGGTTAGATGAATAAAGTGAACAAGCAGGACGAACCATTTGTTTAAGACGGGGACAAAAACAGTGTCGTATCTGGACAAAGACACCACTGGCAGTGACCTGATTCACATACGTGAAGCCATGAACTTGAGGTGGATGAGGCGTCCCGAGGAAGGAATAATCGCAGCCCCCGTGTTAACCTATAACTGAGCTCCGTCAGGGTGGATGGACAAGGAACCCTTTGAACTGAGCTTTGAACCTTCCGAACGTTCCTTCGTATTTCTAATGTCGCTTGAGACCTAGAACGTATACGGGTGATCATGTCTGCCACGGACAATAACCTTTCCGTTTGGGTGGGAAGTTCGTGACTCCAGTCTAACAGTTCACTGAATGGAGAAAACACAAACGACCTCTGTGCTGATGGCAAAGGCCCCCCCCTCCCCCCAGAGTGGCCCTTTTCAGGTTCCATCCTGTATCCACTGTGGAAAGCACAGGATGATCTAGAAGAACACAAGACCCTGTCTCTTCACATAGAATTTCTGCAGAGATTTGCAGCTTGGTGGTTCCCGTCGAGCCACAGATGTACTTTCCATCCGGAGGGAAAGAACAGAAACACATTCTCATAGCTTGGATTAAGGGAAGGCAACCATTGACTCATTTGTTACTTTTGAAAATGGCACGTTCAGTAAGTGAAACAGTTGCCGAGGTGTGTTGACTTTACACTCTCGTGTAGCTTCTCGCTTCTTGAAAATGCTAAGTTAAATGTGAGCCATCCTCTAACGGGAATCAAGATTAATGTGGAGAAAGAAGCTATCCCAGGGTGTGTGGCCTTCAGTTGACAAGTTTGTATGCAGCGGAGCAAGATGATGGGCCAGCTGCAAAGAGCCTGTGCTCAGAGATTCAGTTATTTTCCCCTCATGATTTCCTTCTGGCTTTCTTCAGTAACTGTTCATTGGTGCTATAAGGGGCATTGCCCTCTTGCGTAGTGACACAGGTACGCCTCAGTCTGGAGTCAGTTTGAAATGTGTGTTTGGAAGGAACCCCCCTCAGAGGGTTTCAACTTTAGAGCCAGATCTGAATCGTGTTCTTGCCACGTGTTAAACTCATCATCTCTGGGATGTCTCTTGAAAGTTCTTAAGGATGTGTTATTTCTTCTCTGAAATGAAAACGAAGGATACGTCTGTCTGCCATCATTAGATGTGATGACGTACGTAAGTTACGTGTAGTTATGTTAGCTACATGTAAAATAGCATACAAATGTGAAAGCTTCTCATTGTGGTTTGATGCCTCCAAAGGGGTTTATGTGGAAACGACCACCTTATACACATGTAACTTCCACGTGTTTGTGCACGTAGAAAGCTTTCACCAGCACAACATCAGGGGGCTTGGATAGTTTATAGTATTGCCTTTACAATGGACCGTCTTGTTCATCCAGTGTCTGTGCTGAGTGCCTACTATGTGCTTGGCATTTTTCTAGGTGCTGAGGATAAATGGGTAAACACATAGGTGTCTGTGCTCTTAGGTGCTGTTTACATTCCTTTGGGGTTGGGGGAGGAAACACCGTAAATATAAGCAAATAAGATAATTTCAGGCGGTGAACGTGCTCAGGAGGAAACAAGACAAGTAACACACTAGGGAATACCACGCGAACCGAGTCCAGAATCACGTGAACGGCTCAGCCGTGTGAAAACCTGGGAAAAATTATTCTAGGCAGCTGTCACTAAGGCTGAGAAGTGGGAAGGAGCTCAGGATCCCTGAAAGACACAAAAGGTACTGTGCGTTTGGAGCCTGAGGAGGAGAAGAAAAGGAAATATAATTAGAGAGGGAAGGAGCAACCACCTTGTAAGGGGACCAAGTGACCATGTAAGGAGTTAAGATGTTATTCTAATTGCTATACGATGTTGGCCGGTTTTGAGCACGACTCGTGTATTCCCCAACTGGGAAACCTAAACAGTACCTATCGAAAAACCAGATTTTTTTTTTTTTAAGTGACGATTTCTCTACCTTACCCGCCTGCAAGATCTAGGAAAGAAGCTTAGACCTCTAGAGGGCGCCAAAGGAAAACATTTTGTAGCCAAAGCCACAAAGGTCTTTTCAGCACCTACAAGGAGAGGAGAGCGCTCGGGCTGTTCCCTCCAAGTCTGGTAAAAGATGACTCCGCTTGGGAAACTCATCATCCATCCACCATTCCTACCCAAACATAAAGTCGAATGAGCTTGGTTTGCATGTACCGGGACCTTGGCTTTCAAGCGAAGCACTGTTTTACCATGGGATGGGAGTGGGAAGACATTTGGGGGTTATTTTTAATCTTCTTCCATCTGCTAGTAGTTGAGTAGAACATAAAACAAATATGAAGCCAAAATTTACTTTCTGGATTCATTTGGCAAGCAAAATGCCTCTATACTTAGAACTTTGAAAATATTCATCATTTGCCACTTGGGATGTGTTATTCTAAATACTATTCCAAACTTACTTGATGGGAGTCTTTTCGCAAGGAGTACTAAGGAAGGCTACTGCATGGAAAGCCGGGGGTTACGATCAATGGGATTTTCTGCAAATGAGCAAATACCTCTGATACAGGAGAGCCTTCATCACATGTGAATGCTAAAGGCTCGTGGTGATTTCGAGAAAACGTTCATTATTGTCTTTACTAAGGACGAGTTCAGCTGGTCGGCCCTTACTCACAGAGGCTTTCATCTCCCCATTTCGTGCTGGATGATCACAGCCAAGTACTTTATATACTCTTTGCTTTACCCAGGGAGACTTCAAAAAACACGGAAAAAGCAGCCGACCACATAAGTAACCTGAGCAAATGGATACAGAGCCATCAGAAAAGACAGAGAATCCCAAATCAACTAGAAGCCCCAGAAGGTCATTGAGGAGTAAAGCGCTCTATAGGTGCTAGCACTCCAGAAAGCATGAGCAAGTTTTGGAGGTGTTGTACCTGGTGATTCGATGGTATATTTGAACCCAGCCAGAAGGAAGAGGAGTTTTTTAAGCTTCCAATTGAGCAAAGTGACACAGAGGTTGAACCTGCAACAGGAACACGCATACGAAGCAGGTGCGTGTCCAAGAACCTGTCGGCCTTCTATTTGGAAACACTTCGGCTGACATGTTGCCCTCATTTCTATGGAGAAGCTCTTGCTTCTCAAATTCAGTCTCTTGCTACCTACCAGACACGCAGCAAAGAAAAGTGCCAGACCATTAGTTATCTATTGATTTTAATGGACTTAAACAATAAAGTCACTATCTACCTTCTCCTTCACAGACAATGGGGAACTCTGTTCCCAGAAACACATCCATATTTAACGAGAAAGACAGGAAGAAAGGAAGAAAAGAGACAGAGTCCGGCCCGCCTGAGTATTTCAGACCACCTAGAGCAACATGCCCTTTATCAATTGAACAAAACTTGCAATCTTTGCCGAAGACACTCCCCCATCACCCACCCTACCGGCCCCAAATGAGGCTGATCTATGCAAAGCACTGGGTTTGGATGCCATAATTAAAGAGAAGATATCATGTGAGATCTCCAAGGCAATAAAGAATTCCCAAGTAAAACACGTTATCAGGGGACTGTCTGAAGGACTATAGGACACATAAAGGTCCCCACCAGCAATCAGTGTCCAACAAATGCGGCTTCCTTTAAGAACTGAGGGTTTGTGGCAGAAATACGCAGAAGCCCAAATCTGAATCCCAGGGTCTCTTACAACACCCTCTGGAGACTCTTGTGAGGAGAGCCGTTAAGGGATGGGTCACCTTCTAAACAGGGGTGTTTTTCCTCCCCCTTGGGTCTCCTGCTCCCTAGACTACAGACCCCGAGGGACATTTGCAGAGCAGGAAGAAGGCTGTTTCTTAGCTGATGTCAGAGAAGAGTTACTCACAGAAGCACAGAAGGGCAGGGCTGGAAGAAACTTTAGAGGTCATTTACCTCCAACTCCTCTAAGATGAGCGAAATCCCATCCCACCAGCACCCTGGACCTCCCAAGTGCCAGGCTCTGTGCCAGGCTGGGGGAGGGGCCTCAAAGCGAGCAAGGCAAGCCAGCCTTCCCGGAAAGCTGCTTCCAAATAACCCAGGAGAGGCAGGGGAAAGCGCAAGGCAGGCAGGGGTTACCTGGTTGATGGAGATGACCGCCAGCCGGGGAATGGCCACCTGCACGACCACCTGCAGCAGCGAGGTGCCCAGGCCGGCCAGGATGGCCCAGGTGAGCGGCAGCGGCAGCATGCTGTAGGTGGCGAACAGCGTGAAGAGGACGTAGCCGATGCCATCACCCAGAAGCCCGTAGCCGAGGCCTGCTGCCAAGATCTGGGTGGTCATGGCCACCCAAGTGACCACGCCGCTGTACTGCAGGTACGTGTGCGAGGTGGTGTCCTTCCTGACCACCACGAGCGCGCAGATCACCACCTCGATGCCAGTGAAGAAGCCCAGGAGAATGCCCTTGAGCGGGTCCATGGGGGCCGAGGCCAGGCTCAGGTGGAGGACCAAGAGGGTGAGTTTGGTCAGCACGTCCAGCACGTTCATCACCACCTCGGATTTGCGCCTCTGGCCCAGGAAATAGCGCTGGTAGAGGCGCTCCAGATCCCTGGACTTGAAGGAGTTGCGCAGAGTGGGGAAAATGACCCCTCGGTAGCTATAGCCCCCATTGAGGAAGAAATCCGAGTTGCTCGGGGCGCAGTCCAGGTGCAGGAAGCCCAGATCGCCCCCGCCCCCGCTGCCGCTGCCGCTGCCGCTCCCGCTGCGTTCCGGGAAGACTTTGGTGCCACCGGAGCTGTGCGCTCTCTCCCCGGGGCCCAGCGAGTAGAGGGGCAGCGCCGAGTCCCCGGACAGCTGCGCCGCGTGGTGGTTGGGGCCGCCGCCTGCAGCGTCCGAGGCTTTGCCGGAGCCTCTACTCCCGCTGCCGCCGCCGCTGCCCCGGTGCCCGTGAATGAAGCGCTGCTCGGTGATGTGCCTCACCGCCGTCTGCCACAGCAGCCGCTGCGGCCGGGAGCCGCTCCCGCCGTCGCCGGCCGGGGGCGTCGGGTGAATGGTGTAGAGTTCCTCGCTGCCGCTCAGGCAGCGCACATCGGAGAGCTCCATGGCGCCGGGCCGCAGGCGGGGAGGCGCGGAGCCGGGCCGAGGCGGCGGTGGAGGGGAAGGGTCCCAAAGGCCCCACGGCGGCCCGACCGGAGCTTGGTGGCGAGCCCCCGGTATCCCCGGCCGCCCGGTCGCGCGAGCCCTGGACAGGAGGCCCCGCGCGTCAGGTCATAGTGCGCCCCGGGGCAAAGGGCGTCTGGAAGATCGCCGCAGACCCCTGCGTCCTTGCGCGCCGCCCTCCCTCCAAGCGGCGCAGCTGGGGCGCGCGGCAGCGGTGGCTCGGTGTCCGCAGAAGCCGCGGCGCTCGGAGCCACGCAGCCTCCTTCCCGGGCTCAGGCTTCTCGGCCGCTCCTGGGCTCAGCGTCTTGGCGCAGCCTTTGCTCTCCAAGAGGCACCCGGGCGCCGTGCTCCTTTCTGCTGCGCGCCGGGCGGGTCCTGGCTGCGGCACTGGGCTCGGGACACCCACGACTCGGCGGCCACGGGAGGGCTGGCCCACGGTGACCGGCGGCGGCGGCGGGTGCGAAGTTAGCCGCTGTGGCAGGAGCAGAGCCCTTCGGAGAACTCCATTGCGCCGGGATGGGGAGCCTGGGCGGAGCTGGGGGCGGGAGCAAAGAAGGGGGCGGCGTGGGGGACGGGGAGGTGGCGGGGTGCCCCGCGGAAGAGGTGGAGAGGTGATAGCCTCAGGACTAACAAGTCACCAAACAGTTAATTTGGAGAAGGGGGTGTGCTGAGGCTCCCTCCTCGGCTCCTCTCTGGCTGTCTCCTCTTCCTGCGCGAGGACTGACAGCGCGGCGCTGGCTCTGGCCCGTCGCATCCCTCGGGGAAGGCGGCAGGGTCCCAGTCGCGGCTAGAAGACGAGGTCAGCCCTTCCAGCTGTGCTTCCGAGGGGTCGGAGCCCGCCGTTCCCATTTCCTTCACTTCGTTCTTCGGAGTCCATTTGGCCCGGAGCTGGGAGGAGCGGGAGGTGGGGGCAGGAGAAAGTGGGGAGGGCTCGGAACCCAACAGCTCCGAGGACGCAGAGAAGCCACCGGTGCGGATCCCCGAGGCTAAGAACCGAAGCGTGGCGGGTGCGGCGAGTTTAAGGTTTGGACGAGGAGGGAGGCCCGAGGCCGCGGGGAAGTCGGCTGAGACGCCACCGGATCCAGGGACGCGCCGCGTGCCACCCTGGCGCTCTGAAGCGCGCAGCGGGCACCCGGCGGCGGGGAGGAATTTGGAGACCTGTCAGATCGGTCAGACACCCGCGGCGACTTAAACCCGCCCCCACGCCAAGCCACGCCCCCGGAACAGGGTTGGGGAGGGGTGGCGGGGAGCTGGCACCCAGATCTGGCCAGGACGCCCCAGGTCTTGGAGGCAGCAGCACGCGCAGACCGGCGTGGGTGAGGACGACCGCGGGCGCCCCGGTCTCCCCCCGCGCGAGTATCCAGCGCTCCAGCTGGCCGCGCGGGCCGGTTCCTCCGCTATTCTTTTTTAGGCACTGGCTCTGGGCCTCGGCAGGTGCAGAGCCAGGACTCGTAGGCCGCGCTGCCCACGGGCTCCGAGAGCCCAACGCGGTGAAATAGAGGGTCTCCTTTCCGCCCTGCCCACCCGGGCATCGTTTGGCGTGGCCAACTTTCGGGCTAAAAGCAAAATACGCGCAAGGAGCCGCAGTTGCAGAGACAGCTTCCAGCAAGGGACTTCACTACACCAGTCGGGAGGGGTGGTGGGCTCGCCCCCTGAGCGCCGCGCGCACCAAGTTTCTGCCTGCTTGCGGCAGGGGGAGAGGGGGAGGACGCGGGGAAAACATTTCCAGCCGCCCGCCCGAGCTCCCGTTTCCCGCCCTCCGGGCTCCGCGCCCACAGCGGGCGGAGCCGGGGCGCCGGGCGCCGGGGCAGCAGGGCAAGTGTGGTCGCCGCAGTCCCGGGCTCTGCTGCAGGTGGCGGAGCCGCGGTGGCCGCCACGTCCGCCACCGCGACTGCGGCTCTAGCCGGTGGAGCCCGGGCCCCGAGCACAGTCAGCTGATGGCCAATGACGTCAGGCCCTGGGCGCGTTCTCGGCTCCCAGCGGCGTCCTGCGAAAGCCCAGAAGACCGCTTGCTGCCCCCTCAGCCCTTCGGAACGCGCGATTTCCCCTGCTCTCTCTCGGAGAAACTCCCCTCCCTCTGCCTGCCCCGAGCCGGAATAGCTTTCCACGGCCCCCCTCCCCAGCCACACACTCGCATCTCCAGGGTTATTTGTGTCCACCGTGTCCCAGAAACACGAGATGTAATGCTTTCCTTTTTATTCTCTTATCCGCACACATGGGTTTCGGTTTAAATCCAGGACTGGTCCACTGCCTTGCACAGAGAATCCCAAAAGGGAGAGGACAACTAACATTTTCTCCTATCGCTTAACAGTAGATGTCTGGGGTGTAGAATACACCCGAAAAAAAACTCCTTTAATCCCAGGCCTTTAGAGTTGTAGTCTTTCTCAAGAAAGAGAACAAAACTGAATGCTCAATTTCAAATAGAAAGAAGGTCGGTTCTATTTTTAAGCCGGCTTGCGAAGGAATGAATTTAACTACAAAGATCTCCCAGAGTAGCTGGCCCACTCCCAAGGGGGGCTGGAGGTTAAGAGCAAAGCACCCCCCAAAACTCAGTTTCGCAGTTATCTGGACCTTCATGAAATCATCCCAGGGAAGAGACATGGCTTGCTTCTTGGTTCCTGAATTGGTTAGGCTTCTCACCCTCACCAGCTCTCCTGAAACTCTGGTGGGTAATAAGTATGTTGACTTGAGGAAGGAGCCCAAACAGGGCAGAAGGCTGCTGAGGGAGGGGGACGGGTTCCTGCAGACCCGGTGCCAGGATGTGTGGGGAGCTGTGTCCTCTTTGTAGGCATTGCCCCAAGTCATCTGTGCTAATGACCATATTAGTAAACTTGGCAGTGGAAGACACCTCTTTATTTTCTCAATTCTTTCTCCTTGGGAGCCTGAGAACTCAGCCTGAATAAATGAGGGGTTGAATGCAGATGGAACTTTCCTATGAAAAATCTTCCTCCTGGACATATCCCAGGATGATTTATTCAGCAATAAAGAAGGCATGCCAAGGAGGGGGAGACTGGACCCAATCAGATAAAATGACTCAGGCTGATGAATGAGCATAGCAAGCGACAGAAAAAAAAAAAAAAAA